CTGACTTTAGGTCAAATGATTCCAACACTCCATCCTTTTGGAGTTGGGCTATGCGTTTCTTGTTAATGTGTCCAAGACGACAATGCCACAAGCATGCCTTGTCTACACTATTAGACAAGTCAATATTAAGCACACTATTTCCTAGGCTATCAACACAAGTCACTGTTTCATACACACCATTACAAGGCAAAGCTTCAAACATAAAAACACCATTCTTATAAACAGAAATTGAACCATTCAAATCATTAAAAGAATATGTAAAACCTTGTCTGAACAATGCATGAAATGAAATAATGTTTCTCGTCATCTCAGACGAATAGCAACAATTTATTAAATCTAATCTAACATCATTACTAAGCAGAAGCTGATAAACTCCGATCTTGGTTACTGGTGAAGACTTTCTGTTTCCCATGATCAGGTTTATCCTTCCTCGCTCTATCTCCTCACTTTCCTTTAGACCCTGCAAATCAGAACAGATATGAAAACCACATCCTGTATCAAGGACCCATGAACGAGAAGATAATGAGTTATTAGCAGAAATAGTGTAAATACCCGCCGAAGATGGCTTCACTTTGCCATCCTTGATATCTTGCAGATATTGTGGGCAAGATCTCTTCCAATGCCCCTTTTGGTTGCAGTAAAAGCAAACTGCCTCTTTTGGATCAGAAACATAGGGAGTGGAACCATTGGGCTTAGCCTTTGGGCCATTACTAGATGACCCAACTTGAGCCTTGCTCTTCCAGTTTTGTTTGGGAGGACCTTTCCTCTTTTTCCCCTTTCCATGTCCAATAGCCAAAACAGGGGCACTCGTAGGTGTGGAGGGTATACTTTTACCCTTCATCCCTGCCTCAACTGTCTGCAACAAGTTGTGCAATTGGGCCAAGGTCTGCTCAGTATTGTTCAAATGGTAAGTTAGAATAAACTGACCATAACATTCAGGAAGTGAGTTCAAGACCATGTCAATTGCCAATTCCTCATCAAAGTGAATATTGAGCTTGACCAAACGCTCTATGTAGCGTTGCATTCTTTGCACATGTGACACAACCGACTCCCCATCTTTCATCTTGCAAGCCATGAGTGACTTGACTACTTCGAACTTTTCTTGACGAGCTCGCTTATGGTACTTTTCCATAAGGTCCTTGTTCATCTCGAAAGGCCAGTAGTCCTCATAGTACCTCTGCAGTTCTGGGGACATAGTTGCCACCATGATGCATGCCACTTTGGTAGCATCATCGTAATGTTTCTTGTAGGCAGCAAGATCTTCAGGAGTAGCTTCATTCTCATCAAGCTCTTTGAGCTCCTTTTCAAGAACATATTCTTTGTTCTCGAAACGAAGAGCCATATTGATGTTGCGCATCCAATCGTTATAGTTTGAGCCATCCATAACGACTTTGGAGCAGATATTGAGCAAAGAGAAGTTCTGGTTGGAGGAGGATGAAGCAGAAGTGTTTCCAGGAGTAGACATCTGAAAAGAAAGAAAGTTTTAGTTAGATTTCAAGATACCTCAATATAATAACCCAAAGATAAAATATCAAGGTTAGGATCCAACTATGAAGATTCACAACTTAGAAATGGGATGCCGAGATCCAAGTGCAAATTTCATAAAGGTAGGTGAATGACGATTCACCAATTCCACCATTAGACGAAACAAACGAAGTCAAATTCCTAATTCTTTTGAGATACATTGAAACTATTCAATGGCATGTTTTGTTCTCAGATTATGCTCTTCTATTTGTGACTGGGATGCCGAGGATCACAAACAAGATGTGAATAACCATGCAAATGTGCTTGGTAACCTCATTGTCTTTATCATTAACTATTGATGTGCTGGTAAACCACACACGCTCCATCAAAATGACAATTATGAGATACCCATTACTACTCTTTATTAGTGCCTTTTAGTGTGCTGGTTAACCACACACGCTCCACTAACGACCAATAAAGCATAATGTGCAATTTCATGGATTAGCATACTTTTCACATTTTTCCTAAAGTAACTAGAGTTGGGATTTTGAAAATAATGTTCTAGTACTTTCTTTGATATCATTATACTTTTAATGAGAAGTAGTTGTCCTATCAAATCCGTTCTGCTAACGACCCTCCACTAATCAAGGAAGCGGTGGGTGAGAGTGGACACCCATTCAACTACCATTTTATAGGCAGTTTCCTTATACCCCCCTTATAGATTAGCTTCGTGAATGAGGCATACTAGCGATTTGACTGACCATGTTCTTATACATATATAATATTAAACTTTTAATTATAATATATATATAAGGTGTGTTTTAAAACATTTTAAAACTTCAAGGGTTTATAAATTTCGAAATTTAAGCTATTAAATTTAAATTTAAATAAACCAATTAACTAGATTTAATATTTATCTTTTAATTAACTATTAATCAAATTATTAAATCTTGTAAGGATTATCTAATTAAATTAATCCATTAATTTAATCCTAATCCTTATCCCTCTAAATTTCGAAAAATAGGGTAAGGATAATTATCCAATTAATCTAATTAAGCAACAATTATCCAAAAAAAACCCTAAAACTTCTAAGCAAATTTCGAAATTTACAAGGGAGGAGGCTAGGGTTTTCAAAACCCTAACCCTAATTTCGATTAGGGTTCTTTGGAGGCTAGGGTTTTCGAAAAACCCTTTGATCCAAAACCCTAGAAATCGAAAATTTTGGCCTTTAGGGTTTAATAGCTATAAACCCTAATTTGCAATTCAACAATTGTAGCAATTCAATTTAAAACAACAATGGCTCTGATACCACTGATGGGTTTTAGGTACAACAATTAACCTAGAAAACAATTCCTAAGTTCACATGCAACCTACTTTGGATCTATGTTTTAACTATTGAACATACAACTTTGAATTGCAAAACAAGAACCCTAGAGGAGAGGGGCTATTTTCGAAAATAGTAAACTAGGGTTTAGGATTTACATACCTTTCAATTGTTATAGCAAACAATTGATATTCCCTTGATCTTGATCTTGATCTTCTTGGAAGCTTTAGCACCACAAGTGTAATGCCTCTAATGGAGTCACACCCAAGAACTAGCAAGAAGGAAAGTAGAAGAAGAGAGAGGGGAGGGAGTATGCAATTTCGGCCACTAGGGCTTCTTCCAAAGAATTCAGTACCCAAAATGTGAGCCAGGAGGCTCCTTAAATAGTTGAGGGAACTAGGGTTTAGGGAAAACCCTAGTTATCCTTTGCTTAGGGCCTAAGCAAGACCCAAGGCCTTATCTTGGAGCCCTTGGACGAATTCTCTAGGGTTTCCCCTAGGGTTTTCGTCCACCCCCTTCCAAGGGGGTTCTGGAACCTTCCACTCAACTATTAGTTAATTGCAAACTAGTCCCTGCACTTTATAATTAATTCTTTTAACCCCAAAATTAATTCTGATTAATTTCTGGCTAACAATTAATTAAACATAATGATTTCTAATTAATATATTAATCCATTAACATATTAATAAATCATTTATATTAATTTATTAATCTTATAAATTAATATCTCTCCTTTCATAATTTCCTTGTCCAGTTGCTAGGTTGAGGGCAACCCAAAAGGACTGTGCTGCTATCAATTCAAGTACATACCAATTATAGTTATGGGCTTAGACACCTAATCCAACAGTAACTGTACAACATTCCCTAGAGTTTCCCGCATTGGCAAATTATGATCTTTACTCTGATGTTTAAATAACATACTCACTTTAATGGATTTTGGAACAATTCTTTTGTATGATTTACTGTTTTAAAAAAAAAGAAAATTTTACTATGATTTTTTGGGACGTTACAACCATTTCCAACGAATTGAATAGAAAAGAGAGTAGAGATCAGTCATTAACCTCTGAATAAGTGTAAGATTTCTAGTAGCAAGAAGGAGGGCAGAGGATTCGGTCACCACACAAGAATTCTTTACCCGAAACACCTACAAATACTTCATCACTTCCTTTGAACCACACCAATGCTCCAAGGATAGAAACCTCATTATGAACTATCTCTCTCTCTCTCTCTCTCTCTCTCTCTCTATCTATCTATCTCTCAACTGTCAAAGATGATTGTTGGCTGCAAAAAGGGTTAGATTCCTAGATTTTAGGGTTATCATTGTTTACATACTCCATAAGTTACAATTTAGGCCTTCAAAGTATGACAAAATAACTCGCTAATCCATGTACATGATCAAGAATCATTTTAATACAATTTGATCGCGATCACTTAACTTTCAACCAAGGAAAATATTAATTTAATAAAGGAACTTTACAAAACACTAACCTTGATGACAAAAGGAAATTCAAGTCGTTACATCTTATCAATGTATACATCTTTTGTTTTATAACCTGTTACATATTCATTATTTGAAATTTCAAAAAGTGAATATAAGAACCCTTTGAATATGTGATTATCAAATAACATTTGATTTGATTACTAATGCTCATATATAGGCAACTTTATAGACCCTCAAAATGACAAAGAACTATTTTTTTCTTTATAGCTTAAGTGATGTGATTTTGTTACTAAAAAAGGTAAATGTTATGAAGATTTTGATGCGTTTATATTCATCTGAAACGATATTCTATTTTGGTATTATATTTTAAGTTTCTTTTTTTTTTTTTTTTTTTTTTTTTGGATTTATGTATACATATATGCGTAAAAAAAATCTAGAAACTGTGTTGATCCGACGGTTGAACCAGTTGAACAAAGAACCGTTCATGAGACCGCATCTAATTAAAAACCCGATTTTGAAAACATTGCTTATAGGTGTATGATAAAAAATTAATTTCTAAAGTTTGGGACCAAAAACTAAATAATTGAAAATATTGTGGACCATTTGAGTAATTTTGTGATGGTCAATTGTTCAAACAAAGGACTCGGATCACTTGGATCCAATTATTCCGTTTCACAGTACTAATTAATATTTGGAACAATCCAGAAACGTCTGTGCTCATTACCCGAACCTATAAATACGTCCCCACCTTCTTTCATTACATATCAGCGAAGTTTCTGTTTTCAACTGCATTGTGTATTCGCTTTGTGTCTCTCTCTATTTTCCGATCTTAGTTTTGTGTGTCTGAGAATGACCGGAAAAAGTGAAGGTCCGGCGATTGGAATCGATCTTGGAACCACGTACTCATGCGTTGGGGTATGGCAACACGACCGCGTTGAGATCATCGCGAATGATCAGGGTAACAGGACAACACCGTCTTATGTTGCTTTTACTGATAGCGAGCGTCTCATTGGTGATGCTGCTAAGAACCAGGTCGCCATGAACCCGATGAACACGGTCTTCGGTAAGTTTAACGACGCCTTAATGTTTCTCATATATTTTTCTGTTAATCCGATCAATATTAGGTTGATTGATCGATGCTTTTACGTAAGCGATGCCAGATTTTGTTCCAAAATTCCAGAATTTGTTTATTATAGTTTAGCTTCATAATTCATCGATGAATCTACTTGCAACTGAAAGTCCTTCAGAATTGGGCGTTTTATGTTCGACTTGAAAGTTGTTCAGAATTTGTTTGTTATTTTAGCTAGGAACATGATCAGTGCTAGATCTGATTGTTGATTACTTGAATTTTATCTCATAATTGTTTTTGATGACAAAAACAGACGCCAAGCGACTAATTGGTAGGAGATTCAGTGATGCATCTGTGCAAGACGACATGAAATTATGGCCATTCAAAATCACACCAGGGCCTGGAGAGAAACCAATGATCGGGGTCAATTACAAAGGGGAAAACAAGCAATTTGCAGCTGAAGAGATCTCTTCCATGGTGCTCATCAAAATGCACGAGATTTCCGAAGCTTTCGTTGGTTCATCTGTCAAAAACGCAGTAATCACCGTTCCTGCTTACTTCAACGATTCCCAACGCCAGGCCACCAAAGACGCCGGAGCTATCGCTGGTTTAAACGTGATGCGTATCATCAACGAACCCACTGCTGCAGCCATCGCTTACGGATTAGATAAGAAAGCCAGTAGCGTCGGAGAAAAGAATGTGCTCATTTTCGACCTTGGTGGTGGAACTTTTGACGTCTCGCTCCTCACAATCGAAGAGGGGATTTTTCGAAGTAAAGTCCACCGCCGGCGACACACATCTCGGCGGCGAGGATTTTGACAACAGAATGGTCAACCATTTCGTTCAGGAATTCAAAAGGAAACACAAAAAGGACATCACCGGAAACCCTAGAGCTCTCAGAAGGCTAAGAACAGCTTGCGAAAGAGCAAAAAGAACTCTCTCATCCACAGCTCAAACCACCATTGAAATCGATTCGTTATACGAAGGTGTTGACTTCTACTCCACCATCACACGTGCCAGATTCGAAGAGCTTAACATGGATCTCTTCCGAAAATGTATGGATCCCGTCGAGAAATGCTTACGAGACGCTAAAATGGATAAACGAAGCGTCGATGACATCGTTCTCGTCGGTGGATCAACACGAATACCAAAAGTCCAACAGTTGTTACAAGATTTCTTCAGCGGGAAGGAGCTTTGCAAGAGTATAAATCCCGATGAAGCGGTGGCATACGGCGCCGCAGTTCAGGCGGCGATTTTGAGCGGCGAAGGTAACGAAAAGGTACAAGATCTTCTTCTTCTCGACGTCACTCCTCTCTCACTCGGTTTAGAAACCGCCGGCGGAGTCATGACAGTTTTGATTCCGAGAAACACGACGATTCCGACGAAGAAAGAACAGGTTTTCTCAACTTACTCCGACAACCAACCCGGCGTTTTGATTCAAGTTTACGAAGGAGAAAGAACAAGAACGAGGGATAACAATCTGTTAGGGAAATTTGAACTTTCCGGCATCCCTCCGGCGCCTCGAGGTGTCCCTCAGATTTCCGTTTGTTTCGATATTGATGCAAACGGGATCCTTAACGTTTCTGCTGAAGATAAAGTCGGTGGAAAGAAGAGAACAAGATTACGATTACAAATGATAAAGGGAGATTATCGAAAGATGAGATTGAAAAAATGGTGCAGGAAGCTGAGAAATATAAAGCTGAAGATGAAGAGCATAAGAAGAAAGTTGAAGCTAAAAACGCTTTGGAAAACTATTCGTATAATATGAGGAACACCATTAATGACGACAAGGTTGCTTCAAAGATTCCGGCGAGTGATAAGAAGAAGATAGAGGATGCAATCGATCAAACGATTAGTTGGTTGGATGCTAATCAGTTGGCGGAGGTAGATGAATTTGAGGATAAAATGAAAGAGTTGGAGGGTATTTGTAACCCGATTATTGCTAAGATGTATCAGGGCGGTGGTGGTGGTCCTGAGGCGGCGGCGGCGGCTAACTCTGGCACAGCTCCGGCTGGTGGGCCGAAGATTGAAGAAGTTGATTAAATCTGGTATGTGCAACTCTTAATAAACGCGTTTACAACTATGGAAGCGAAAGGTACTTATGTTAATGCATCATCATCTTAGAGCAATGTTTTTAGCTTTAAACTTCACATATCAATTTTTAGGAGTTAGATGAGGCAATGTTATCTAATTCTGCTTATATATATATATATATTATATATATATATATATATATATATATATATATATATATATATAATATATATATATATATATATTTTGTTGTGTACCGGAGATAAGGATAAAAGAAGTTATTGGCATTTTAAGTAAAACTAGTAAAAAAACCACAGGTTTCTCTCCGCGTCGATTTTTTTACAAGCGGCAGGGACTAAACTTGTCAAACTGTGAAAAATATTGTGGTTAAATTTTGAAGACCACAAACTTTTGTAATAAGGGACCAAAAGTGTAAGAATTGAAAAGTTTAGTGACAAATGTCTAAAACAAAGAAACTTAAGCTTTTGAGAATTAAGGTACTAAACTTGCCAAATTGTGGCTAAATTTTGAAGACAATAGGTTTTTGTAATAAGGGACTAAAAGTGTAAGAATGAAAAAGTTTAGTGGCAAATGTCTAAAACAAAGGAATGCTGAATTTTGAAGAACACAAACTTTTGTAATAAGGGACCAAAAGTGTAAAAATTGAAAAGTTTAGTGACAAATATCTAAAACAAAGGAAGACAAAATTTTGAAAATCACAAACTTTTATAATAAATGACCAAAAGTGTAAGAATCGAAAGTTTAGTGACAAATGTCTAAAACAAAGGAAGTTTACTATTTCTTAAGTTTTTGTGAATTAAAGGACTAAACTTGCCAAACTGTGGAAAATATTGTAGCTAAATTTTGAAGGCCACAAACTTTTGTAATAAGAGACCAAAAGTGTAAAAATCGAAAAGTTTAGCGGCAAATGTCTAAAACAAAGGAACTTTACTATTCCTTAAGCTTTTGAGAATTAAGGGACTAAACTTGCCAAACTATGCAAAATATTTTGGCTAAATTTTGAAGAACAAAAACTTTTGTAATAAGAGATCACAAGTGTAAGAAAGGAAAAGTTTAGTGGCAAATGTCTAAAACAAATGAACTTTATTGTTCAATAGTCGTTCACCACACGGATTTGCAGTGAACACTTCCATTATAAAACTGTTTTTTCATTCCAAATACCATAGAGATGTGAATCTGATTACAATTAAAAAAAAATTACACTTTTGAGTCGACATCCCGAATATTGGACATCCTAGTTAACATTTGAACTGTTAGAATGTTCTTTGTCACACTTATAATTTTGAAAGAATTCCAGCTTTTTGGATGTAAGATAACATCCAAAACTATTAGAATCGGATTTGAAGAAGAAAACCCAGGATAATCAGTAACTCTTAATCGTTGTTTTGGAAATCAAACATGTTATAATTTGGCTTAAGAATGGAAAGTGGAAGTTATTTTTGGCTTAATCTTGATTGTAGCATAATATTTTTGCCTTAAAATCAAAGTATAATGCTATTTTTGGTGAAAAAGTAAAAGTCACATGCTACTTTTGGCTTAAAGTGGAAGTAGCATGCCATGTTTTGTTTTAAAAAGAAAGCAACATGCTATTTTTAGCATAAATCACAAAAATTAGAACCATGAATCAGAACAAAGTTGAGAATTACTAAGCAACGACTTTAAAAGTCAAACTGTACCGCTTTTTTTTAAATAGTGATGAGAAGTTTGATGTGACATACCCATTTTCACGGCCAGAAAAGACCGATTATATTTATGCTTTATAAAAATCAGAGTACGTCTTTTGATAAAAATGTTGCGGAATTTGTTCCCAGAAAAACATGATAAATACGTTATCAAAGCATTTCTGAAGAAATGTATTTTTATTCATTTTGAAAACCTTGGGATGTTATCGTCAATACAAAAACATAAGCATAAACAGAACTTACATTCATTTACACTAGTGATCTACATCTCTTTTAAATCTCTCAGTGTAAAGTAGCTTCATATCGACACCTGTGATACAAATAAACTTGAGTGGGTCAGGTTGGAAAACCTGGTGAGTACATAGGGTTTTCAACCCACAATAATATAATAATTATGTTTAATCATCAAACAATTAACCCAATTACCCATCCCCATTATCTTATTTACTCTTAAGGATCTACCCTAAGAATCAGCTATCCCTTGTTCATTCATTCCTAAGGATCATCCTAAGGAATGGGCACGAAATCCATCGTTGTCAGGGTTTACTCTACAGGCACTAAGTCGCATAGCCGCCAGGATATAGGCACTAAGTCTCATAGTCGCCAGGGTTTATACAACAGACACTACGTCGCATAGTCGCCAGGGCTTAGGCACTAAGTCTCATAGTCGCCAGGGTTTATACAACATGCACTACGTCGCATAGTCGCCAGGGTTTAGGCACTAAGTCTCATAGTCGCCATGGTTATCTTGTTTATTGAAAGTATCGTTTCCGAGAATCCACTCGCAATATGTGTCAATGGGTTTTTAGAGTACAGCTGGTGAATACACAGTTCAAATACACCTACAGGTTACGAGCCTGCTAGTGTTCCACTGGAATGTCTAGAATAGTCTGTGGTTGTCATCCATACTCTGCTAGATGACGGGGCCACCACTTGGGTAAAAAGCTTCTCTCATGGTTCACCTCTCACCCTTATCTCATGGTCTATATCATCTCGAATCATTTTATTTTTGTCACACAACAACTATTTCATCTACCCCTGTTTTACCCAACACATTTTGTAGATATAAAATACATATACAGTTTAAATCATTTAAAACATGTATAAAAATCTTTCACCCAGCATAGACGACAAGTATACAGACAATATGCACACGTATCATATAATTTATATTAAATACTTCATATCTATATGTAAGATGAAAGAGACTATGCACTCATTTGTTAAGGTGGTGACTCGGTATTCGGACAACGCTTCGTTATCTCAAAATAATTTTCCCTCGACAAAACCTAGTATCAACATCACTAGGGTTTAGTCTAACGTTAACCGCAACTAATTAATAGTCTAGCTATTATTACTATTATATAAGCGTTAAACAACACTCTATATAACTCATAATAATAGCCCAAATACTTATTATAAGTTCCTAATAACGTTACTATATTAAAACATAAGCTATACTAAAGATAGGGTAGGTATAGCTCACTTACAGTGGGTTTCCTTGGAAACCGGGCTCCGCCGGAGGCTCTTCTTTTCGGAGCCGCCAGGCGCTCTGGGGCTTTTGCCTCGTGCTAGGGGGGGTTCCCTAGCCTTTTCGGGGGGGGGGGGGGGGGTTCGGCTTAGAGAGAGAGTATAGAGAGAGGAATGAAGGGTTAAGGTGTGAGGAATGAAGGAGAGGGGCGTTTCTATTTATAGGAGGCTGGAGGAAGGTTCACGTCGTGAATTTTTGATATTCACGTCGTGAGCCAGGCTGGCTACAGCCAGCCACAACCTGGTGCTGACACGTGGCATCGCACACAGGGTGGAAATCAGCCGATTTTCAAAAATTCATAAATTTCGCATACGAGCTCCGTTTTCGACGTTCTTTTTTTTCCACGCGTAGGTAAAAACAAGATCTACAACTTTCATTTAGACTTCGTCGGCTAATTCTCGACCGGTCTTAAATTTAACAGTACGAGGAGATTAGACTGTTAAATGATCGCGAATAATTCGTAACTCCTTCATACGGTCTCCGTTTTCGTCTGTCTTTTTACCGTTGAGTTCCTATTAATGATATCTTCAACTCTCATTTAGGTCGCGTAGGCCAAAAACTGCTTGAACTAAAATTCGAGTTTCAGGCCGTGCACTGCTAGGGCAAATCTTAGAAAATTCGTAACTTCCTCATACGAAGTCAGATTTGGGCGTTCTTTTTATAGACGCTCTCGGTTTAATGTATACTACAACTTTGGTTTAGATTACTAAGGCCAAAAATTCCTCTATTGTAAATTCACTATTTTACGTTTCCCGGTGCCGTGCCGGTTTTGCCGTGAAACTTCGACGGGCCATAACTTCTTCGTTATAACTCGGATTCGGCGTTCTTTATATGTACGGAACCCTTGTAACATATACTACAACTTGGTTAAGATTACTCCTTCTAAATAATCTTCAATAAAAAAACTTATTTTTGATGCTCATTGTCTGTAAATTGACTAGCCCGGATCTACGGGCGTTACAATTATCTCCCCCTTAGGATGATTACGTCCCGGAATCATCAACGAAACAGGGCTGTATAATGACTCCATATGTTATCTCTTCATCCTAGGTAATAATCGTAACTTCTTTGTTCCTTCGAATGAGTATCTAACTCTTGGACTCCTTGACTGTAGGCGGTGCTCGATCTTGCACTTGCTCCCTATCTCACGTTAGACTCCAAATTATGAACTTCAAGTCACAATCTCGATCCTCACTAGATACGAACTTAAGATAAGTTCTTTTATTACAACAATGGAACGATGTGTCATATTCTAATGACCTATCATCGTATGTTGCAACGCTTAGACTCAGGTCTCTTAGAGTCTTCCAGAACATATTATACCTTCCTTCATGTTCTAATGTGATATAATCACATCTTAAAAGGTAGCATTTCTAGCTACTATCGCGATACCTCTACTAATCGTTTGATTGTCTTTCACTTCAAGTTTCTAGCTTAAGTCAGATGCTACATCGGACTTGGTTCTCTGAACCATTTAACATACTCGTCTTAGTCGGACTCAATTTGATATGACCACTAGGGTCGGAATGACAACAATCTTCTTAGTCATTACCGAAACAATGGTAACGACATACTTGAATAAAATGGTATCAATTACTAGCTTCTTGGTAACCTTGTGACTTTCCCTGATCCAAGCGTGAGTCATGTGCTTCCGGTAGTATAGGCCTCTACTACCATTCACACCTACTCATACTCGTCCCAAGTATTGTCTCGCAGTTTTCCAAGTCACCATACAAGAAGATCACATAACAATTTAACACACCAGATAACAAAAC